GTGTGTGCGTGTGTGTGTGTGTGGTGTGTGTGTGTGTGTGTGGTGTGTGGTGTGTGTGTGTGTGCGTGCGTGCTGTGCGTGCTGCGCGCGCATGTGTAGTGTGTTAGTGTGCGTGCGGTGTGGCGCCGTTCAACAACTTTTGAATGTTGTCAAGTAGAATAGTGCGTGCTCTCTCACACATTCGGGACCATGACATCCGAGTCTGTATAGTTAACCTCTCACCTTAGCAGGGATCTAGCTCTCACTGAGTTTCCGTAGCAGAGGAGTCATCCCCACTCTAGGATTAGTGACGATGTGACGATGTGTTACGCGGCGGTGTATCGTGTGTCCTGCTCTTATATGTTCAGTCGTTTCTCACCCTAGTGAAATGTACGCGCATCGCAGCGGAAACATCTATTATGGCGTATCTATACGCAGGGTCTCCAGCCCTGTGAACTCCAAATGTGGAATAAAATTGATGGACAGGGGGTGGGGCAAAATTCAACTTGCGCTGCGCAGCAGGCCCGCGTCCTGTAGTGCATGCGCAGTGCTAGGGGGTATGGGGGTATCCGCCCCCCCCCAGAAAATTTGAAATATTTAAGCCATTTTCCTGCAATCTGAGGCAGTATGCCATGGGCCATATTCTCATGTCTGATGACACTATCTCAACCCACAAGTTAGGATTCAATAACACTTTTTCATAACTTTCAGAGGAGACGTACACAGTTAGGTTACTATAGTAATAATACAAGTTATTAAAACACAGGTAAGATTTGCAATTTCTCACATTTCACGTGTTTTTGTATGTTTGCAACCATATTTTTGGCGCTATTTGTGAGTTCTGGAACATTTTCTTGAGAGTTCATTTGGCATGTCTGCCGCCCCAAAGGCCACATTGTGGTTCAATTAATAATCCGTAATCTCACTCTTGCGTCAAGACAGACAATTCGCTATCTGCTGCAAAGAAGCTTGATATATTGGGTGTAGATTTCCACTGCCGACCCGCATAGCACTTATCGGTCCTTATGCTGTTGAGAGACTATGCCTCTGGCAGTCACCCCTTCCTTCCGTGCCCCACTTTAAAGCTCATTCTTGCTACATGCAGAGTGGATAATAGAGAAGAGTAGTCAGGTTTTAACAGCGTTTTGCATAGTTTTGAAACGCATGTACTATCTTCCAATATATAATAAATATATTGTCAAACTTTACCTTGTTTTCGTCATGTTCTCCTTATTCATATGACACCACAATTTACCTGAAAAATCGTATGTGTTCTCTTCAAAAAGTTAGTGTTGGAATCGACCTACGCGTTTCGCCACCAGTTTTTCACGCATGGATACATCTCTCCGGACCAACTTTTGTTTATGGGACTAGTGTTCTATTGTCTTGAAGACGAACTTTGGGGTGTATGGATATTAGGCATCGAATTGTATTCACGTTGCAAGCGTTTCGCAGTCGCTGCTAAAATATAATGCGCCTCACGGCCACAGACTAACGGATACACAGACATGGACCTCGTATACCCTGCTTGCTAAGCGTTTCGATGGTGCTGGCCCCTAGCGAAGTATGCGGTCAACTAACTCGAAAATGCGCCTCGGCGGTTGTCTATATTCCAAGCAGTACCGGCGAGATTACGGTACCATATATTTGCTAATATACTTGACTAAATCGTGCGGTCATAAACTCAATACTTCACAGAGACTATAAGCTTAAAGACCATATCTCTTATAGGTAGCTAGAATTTAGAAATTTACATCATCTGTTATTTCCATTTCGCAGCAGGCTATATTTTGCTAATATATGTGACTAATCGTGCTCAATAAACTCAATATTCACCGAGAGTATGGGTGTCTATATTCAGCCGGCTACGGGGAATGATTTGCATAATATATTCTAGATATATTCCAGATATAGCGTTTTTTGCAAGTTTCGCCAATAGAGCATGATAGGTACTCAGATTTTATCCCGTGTTGCATGTTATATACGTTTGCAAGTAATGAAATTCGTTAGGACGGCAGTGACAGATTGCAGTGACTCACTGGCCTGCTGTGCACACGAACAGAGACTTACTTATTGATTGTTTAATTATATGTAATCATAATCATCAATGTAAACTAATACAATAATACAATCTTGTGAAGCTAAGTTAGGCAAAACACTACTTGGTTCGGTGAATCTGTGTAATTTCTTGCTGGCCCTGTGTTCTGTGAAAATCCGGCAGTTAAAACGATATCAATTTGTAAAATAATACACCACATCACATACACATGTAGTATGGTCATGTACATAGACTTCGGAGTGGATCTGCGCAACATAAGAAGCCAGCCGACATTGACGGAGTTAAAAGACAGCCCAATGCAACTATCTGCTACATTTGAGACAATCATTTTGACATTCTCAATTTCTGTGTCAGCTGACAAGGGTTTAAAATCACTGCTGCTTCGAAATGGGTGATATGGCTGCATCTATTTAAAAATATAAACTATTCATTCGTATGGGAAATTAGTAAAATAGCATTGCTTCTCTGCTTCTCGTCGGTGACTCATGGGCGGTTATACATGTACCAGGCTTGATTTCAGAACATATTACAATAAACAGAATATACGGTTGAGAATATTACTGCCGGCACTGAAGTATATTTCATATATGCTTATGGCCCAAATATCAAAACTAAACCACCATGCTGAATAATTTTGTTAATAGAAAAATGCAAAAACTGTCTTGTATTTTACCTTATTTTCCATAAATTCCTTCACCCGATCGCCTTCCATCTTTATTAAAAACACACGGGCTAATCAAAAAATTTAAGAGGCTAAGAAGGATGCAATTCCATCTCTGATAGAAGTCAGTAAACCCTCCTGCCACTCGCGAACCTAAGCAAACAAGCAGATGCGTAAATGGCTGAAATGCTGCAGCACTTGTGATTACGCTTTCTTAGCACATAAATGTGATTAAGTGGTATTTGAGTAAAAATATGGAAATTATATCGTTTTATTATTATATTGTTTGTAGAAAAAACAAACATCTCACAAAATCCGGTCACAGACTGAGAATACATTAAACTACAGGACTGGTAGCACAGATAATACCGTGTGCCACATTAGCGCATTGTGATGTTATGCTGTGTATTGCTGCATTAGTCTGTGTATAGTCTGTGATAGCGGTGTGGATGATCGTTTTGGCATGTAAAAATAAATGTACAGCCGTTAATAAGAGCAAATCTACTTGAAGACTACACATTCTTACTTCTAGATTCAGGAATGTATAATTAACACCAGTCACCCATATTATAATTAACGATAGAGGACGTTTAATGCTTACAACGTTACACATCTAAGGTGTGTCACCACAGCAGATTTTTTAGTGTACCGCTACCCATCGTTAGCGGCGCCACTATTCAATTCCATAACACTATTTTGCCGTTTGCCGTCCAAGTCTGGTGTATCCGTTAGTCTGTGTCACGGCCAGCTAGCAGCAGCTGATTTCCTGCGGCCCCACCGCGTACCGCATAGACATAAGACTACTAGTCCATAACAAAGTTCGGTGGAGAGATGTCTCCAGGCGTGATACCTGTGAAACCGTGTGTATTCAACTAACTTTTTGAAAGGAAACACATACGATTTTCAGGTAAATTGGCTGGTGTCATATGAATAAGGGCAGAATCATAGACGAAAACAACGGTAAAGTTTGATATACTTTATTCCATATTGATAGATTAGTTAGCCAGTTCGAACTATGCAAAACGCTGTTAAAACCCTGACATAGCTCTTTCTCTATTATCACCTGTACAACTTGATACCATGCATAGCATGATTAACACTGAGTTTTGACTTCACAACGTACAGGCCACATCTGGTATATCTATTCGGTTCTGAATTTCTGTAAAAGTCGGGCTTTTTTTTGGGATTGGCATATGCATTGGACCGCAATGGGGAACTCTAAGTACTAATCCGCAGCGTGGCGCTGTGAAGCAACTCGGTCCTGCCGATGCGCGGCGCTGTCGTCGTAGCAATACTTTAGTACGTAAAGAATCGAAATACATCCTTAAAAAATCGCTTGTAATCCAACTTTTAACACGCTTCAAAATGGCATCGAAGCAAGATATAAGTGACATGAGGATTTCTGAGTTACAAGCCGAACTTAGAACCTTTGGGGCAAAGGTATCCGGAAGAAAACAAGAGCTTTGTGAAAGGTAAACATTTGCAACGTTTATATCTCACTGTATATACAGTGGTTGTTCGCGCATGTGATCTCTGCTAACTGCGATGGAGTTTAATAGTTTTTAATACTGTCATTAGTTCAATCATTCTCCCTACTCCTGATTATACTGTACAACCAATGTTTTGCTGTGTAGCCATTCACTAGCGGCGTAGCGCCTCGACATGGTTATATATGTCTATGTACCATATGTCTATGTACAGTTATATATTATATGTCTAGACATTTGTCAGACACACACTTGTCTAGCTAACTAGTTGGTTACAAATTCCATGGACTAATCCTTCATATTTACTTTCAAACAGGTTGGAATTTTACAGACGCAATAAGACTAGTGCGAATGTACAGCCTGAGTACAGAATGGATCTGCCAGATGCAAGTCACTACAAAGATCTTCACGCTGGAATGGTGGAACTAGTAGAAAATATTTCACTGAGGCGCATCGAAGAATACCTACAGCAGTTTGACAAAAGGATTGATAGCAAAACCAAGGATTTCTATGAACAGAGGTAATGTAACAATAACATGTGGTTTACATCTGTAGTTGTAACTATAATATTTACAGAGCAGGATACATTGTAACATGGGACACTAGATCAGCTTAGCTGGAGTCTAGGACTTGTTCAGTTTTTGGTCTAACAATGTGTAGTAGACATGCAGGCACAACAGTCCTGCATGTGACGCTGTAGCAGGTTTTATGTGAAGATTAACTAATAGGATGTGAAATGTGTAGAATGGGAGATAAAATATGTGGTTGGGGAGTTAGGAGTCAATGTGGATCGAGACACGCACTGTGCACATGCATATTTATGAGTCTGCATGCACATGTATTATTACTATATAATAGTTTATATATATATATATATATATGTTGTATACAAGAAATTGTAAGAAATATCTGTTTAATGTTGCATGTGTTCATTTCTTAATGCAAGGGTGAAAGAATTCAGTTGAGTAACTATAGCGGCTTAATGATATTTAAAATGAATATTGATGTTTCCCATTTCAGATTCCTAAGGTTTGTGCGCATAGCAAAACCTGGTGGCAGTACTTCTGTTTACATATCATCCTCGATGTGGTCTGAGATGAAGAAGTCCGTTTCCTACCCCCTTCAGTAGCAATAGAAAAAAATACGAAGAGATCAATCAGAGTGTTACAACTGAGTGCGGCTTATTTGTTAGTAAAGAAACCCCTGTGCTTGCAGCATCTCCTGATCGTGTTGTTAATGCAAATCTAATTGTCGAAGTCAAGTGCCCCTATGTTGCCAAAGATAGTCTAATTTCAGCAAAAACTGTACCATATTTAACGACTGATGAAAGCAGAAATCTTGGCTTCAAGAGAAACCATAATTACTTTTATCAAGTGCAGGGACAACTATATTGCAGTAAAAGGTCAGAATGTGATTTTGTAATCTATACACTCAAGGACATTAAAATTATAAAGGTAGCCGCTGATCCCGTATTTATTAAGTCTATGGTTGATGTGTTGATGACCTTTCATGAAGACTACCACAAATGTGCCATTATTAACAAATACATCTATAAAAATTATTTAAATTATGGTTTCTAGTGCTTAAATTGCTAATATAAAGGCGCCAATTACTGCACAATTGTATATAATTCATGAATAGTGGTGATAATGTTGCTTGTTTTATAATACTATGTAAATATCAATAATATTGAACAGCTATATAGTATTAGTACATAATGTATATATTAGTAAATACTTGTACTGTTGTGTGTCATAACGTAATTTATGAAACAAGGAAATTGAGTTTCTGTTACATATAATTAAATTGTTTGGCATATTCAACTAGACTCGTGGGAATATCCCACACAATCTGCATGCACAAAGAATCACACTCACAAACTAGACAGAGTGCACTCATGGAGTGCATACTTCCACCGACGACATACGCCATACGACTCACGGACACGAATATCGGAATAAGCCACGATATACGCCAGCGTACTGACATGTACACGCTCCCATGTAACATGTATGTGTTACGAGCTGGCTTGCTGACTCGCTGGCTCGCTGGGTCATATCGATGGACCGCCAACGACATACGCCATGCGCCTCGACGCGCTAATATCGATCGCGCGAATACACGAACACATTAACACACGAGAGCGAAAACATAACCTCCTCCAACTCCTTTGGGCGGAGGTAATGGACTAGACATTTACACTTATTTGGCACAACACTAAAAAATCAAGCAACTAATGACTGGTAGCATATATTAGATAATAATAATATCAAGAGCGGATAATACCTCGAGGTATTATCCAAGAGGTAATACCAAGAGGTAATACCAAGAGGTATTATCCGCTCTTGATAACATCACATTTCAATAATACTTTTCTTGTGAATGTTTATCTATACCAACTTTATCTATGATGTTCTTGGTACAATGCATTTTCTAAAATTGCAAAGGTAGCAACAAACTGTTGTTATCTCACTAGCAAGTACTCATAAGCACTCGTTTACTGGCAACCTTTCTGTCTTTTAAAATTGTGGATATAGATAGACGGTTCTTATTTTTGAAGAATTGTGGAATGTTAATGAACACGTTTGCTCAAACAAATAGGTCTTGTATGTTGCTGTATCCACCATTTTGCTGTCTCCACGGTCGCACATATGCTGCATATCGCCGTTTGCTCACTCTTCCCGTCCGCTCCAGAGAACTGGGTGAGCACAGATTGTTCCAAGGAAAAACGTGAGGGACAGCTGTGCATTTCAACTTCCTCAAAAGTGATGCAGTTCCTGAAAAAAATAAGCCATAGCAGATTATATATATATATATATATATAGAGAGAGAGAGAGAATATATTATATATATATATATCACCATATTACATCATGTATTACTCAGGTACTGTATAGTAGACTGTACAGTACTTTATATACCCTATCAACCCCATGCCTAACCCTAATGAGTGCATGATCATACATTCAAGATTAGGAACGCGTTAACCCAACATGAAAAACATACTGGCTACAATGCAAAGACTAAGTAAGTATTTGTTTCAGATTAGCTCCATTGCCTCCAAGAAATAGTAATATGTTGAAATGTGTATTGATATTAATATCGCAGCCTGGTCAAGCTTGTTTCGCATTAGCTGTTGATTTGAAATATATATTATAGTATTATACAGCGAAGATACATTAGGACAACTGATTACTGAATCTGCTAATAATAAAAAACATACCATACTGAAGCTAGGTTGTCTCAACGCAGTCCGATTCATCAAACTGATCTCGAAATGCACGCGCGTACTTGAAAGGTCTCACAGTAGTTATTTTCTCATCGTCTCACAGCGTAATCCAGGCACGTACTGCTTAAAAACGTACAGGGAAAGCATGTACTCCCCCTCTTCCCACAATGTACTACACAATATTCGGTTGGCACTGTCCCAGATAAAACAACACCGAGTTGAAGAACAGAACACGGTACGTACAGTACAGTTTTCACTTGTAAACACCGCGCAGCAGCTGTTGCTCAGGACCGAGTTGCGTATCAGCGCCCCTATATGCTATTGTATTTTGCATGTTCCCCATTCGCTTTACAGAGCGCTTAGATAGTACCTTTGAAATTTATTAAATACGTTGTTGTTTCCTGGCAGGAACGAGAAGACAACAGACAGATCTTTCACCCGGGGAAAACCGAAAAAACAAACACGCCTGCCGAGATGGAGAATTTCTCACTCTAGATAGAGCTAGCAACGTTGCCTGCAGGAGAGAAACCCTATGCGTGTGACGTGTGTGACTACAAGGGCATGAGTTCTCTTGCTCTCAAGGCACATAAGCGCACTCACACGGGAGAAACGGCTTATGCGTGCGATATTTGCTCATATACATGCACTACATCTGAGAGTCTTCAGACGCACCTTCACACTCACACAGAAGAGAATCCCTATGCGTGTGACATGTGTGACTACAAGGGCATAGATTCTCTTGCTCTCATAGACAATTTCGCACTCAACAGAAGAGAATCCTATGAGTGTGATGTTGTGGTACAGGGCAGGACTTCTCTTGCTCTCAGGACCCACACAATGCGCCAATCACACAGAAGAGAAATCCCTTATGAGTGTGAGGTCGTGTGTGGCTACAAGGGCAGGACTTCTCTTGCTCTCAAGGCACACAAGCGCACTCACACAGAAGAAAAGCTTCCTTATGTGTGTGACATTTGTCCATTTGCTTGTACTAGTTCCAAAAATCTCAAGCAACACTTTCGCACTCACTTAGAAGAGAAGCGTTTGACGCGATGTACTCATTGACTATAGACATCCGGATTTCGCGTCTCAAGAACACAAGCTCACTCACACAGAGAGAGAAACCATATGTTGTACATATTTGTATCAAATGCGTTATATTAATTCCCAAAAGTCTTCAATGGCACACTAGTCACAATCACTCAGGAGAGAAGCCTTCTTTGCGTGTTGATTCATGTGACTATAAAGGCTCCCTATTCTGTGGTATCTGAAGGTAACTCGCGACTCACATAGGAGGAAGCTCAACGCGTGTTATTTATGTGACTATAAGCCTCCCAGTGCGTATTTTCAGAGACACATGCGCAATTCACACAGGAGCAGAGAAATGTCTTACGCATTATGCGATTATGTGACTATAAGGGCCTACGTCTTTCGGGTCTCACGGCAAACAAAGTTCAATCACACAGGACGAGAAGCCCTTGGTGTCGATTCATTGATGGACTATAAAAGCCTCCTTTTCTAGTAGTCTGAAGTTACACATGCGCACTCACACAGGAGAGAAGCCTTATGAGTGTGACATGTGTGACTATAAGAGCAGGACTGCTATTGGCTTAGGGCACACAAGCGCAATCACACGGGAGAAAAGCCTCTTATGTGTGTGACATTTGTCAATTTGCTTGTACTAGTTCCAAAATCTCGAGGCACACTTTCGCACTCACTCAGGAGAGAAGCCTTTTGCGTGTGATTTCGTGTGACTACAAAACTGCACGCCTTGATTGCCTCAGGGGACACATGCGCACGCACACTCGAGAGAAACCTTTTGCGTGTGATTTATGTGACTTCAAAACTGCCTACATTGATAGTATCAAGGGACACATGCGCAGGCACACAGGAGAGAAACCATATGTGTGTAATATTTGTTCAAATGCTTATTGTCACTTCTAAATCTCAAGACGCACTTGCGCACTCACACAGAGAGAGAGCCCTATGCTTGTGATGATTGTGATTACAAAGCGGGCCGTCTTGATACCCTCAAGGAACACAAGAAGCGCATTCACACCGGTGAGAAGCCAATACAGTACGGTAGAAAGATACATGTGATACATGTGGATACAGGACTACTAGCTCTAGGTTTCTGCAGCGACACAAGCGCAGGCACACAGGAGATTGACCATATGTGTGATTTATGTGACTATAGAGCCATTCAGCTTACGTGTCTCAAGGTACACATGCGGGAAGCACACTCGCGAGAGAAACTCAGGTCAGGGGCAGGAGGCTGGTGCTGGGGGCGGTCCTGTGTTCGAACCTCTTTCTGGGTAGCAGGTTGATCATTTTCTCGGGGGGAGTTTTTATCTCCTTTTAGCCCAAGCCATCTGAGCCAATCTGTGGTGAAATTATTTTTGTGTACAGGGCATGAAATTAGCCAAAATGTGAACAGGCCCACCTCCAAAATTTGAAACAGGCCCTTAGACAAATTAAACAACAGGCCTACAATTGTTTTGACATCCCTTAATTTTGTTCAATTTTCCATTATTAATTTAAAAGTATATAGTTTTATTGGTTTATTTAGGCATTACTCATAGTATTTCGGTAATTTTCATTGCTATCAGGTGAGTTCTACTTGTATGACAGAATTTTGCTGCGAGATGATTTATTTTAGTTGTCATTGAGGTAAAACATTAGGAAAATCGGTTTAAATATTGTTGATTATGTAAGGCAAGGAGATTAAATTTTGAATACGGGCCAAGTGGACCGATTGTATGGGGGGTTGATCTGTAACTGTTCTTAGAATCTTTCCGTTATCTGCTTTGTACCAACCACCTTGGTTTGTGCTGCTTCCGTTATCGGGAATGTCTGTAATGGCTTTTAGTCAATGAAACAGTTAATTTTGTTAGTAAAGTTTGTTCAATGTCTTGCTTGCCTTATCAATGTGCCACTATATCTCCTCTTCTGTCTTTTGTCTTTACTGTCTGTAATATATTGCCGATGTTTAACATCGCACACACACCACAACGCCGTTATATAGTTCTACCATTGTTTTTATTCTCTGGAATT